TTAGTTTCTCCTTTTTACTTTCACAATATTTGCAACTTTTTTTTCCAAAATATTGACAATGTTCTCATTTGAGCTAAAAATGAGAATCTATGCACAATGATCGATTGCGCATAGTGCACGACCAAGAGTTCTATATACTTGTTCTTCTCTATCTCCCTGAAATATCGCCTCTTCATCAAAATGTCGACTCTGTAGTTTCAGGGTGATGAAGTTGCGCGTGTGGTGAAGGGCTTTTTCAGCTATTCGACACGAAAATGATACCAAATACCTTTAAAAGAGTAAAAAAAAAAAAAAAACAGCGGTTTCATCTGCGAGTTTTAATATTAGCCACGTGTGACGGTCCTTGGTTTATTTTCCCCCACTTTCATGACTTTATATTGTTTGAGAATAAGAATTGGACCTGGGTCCAAATTGAACGTTTCGCAATTGGGAAAACTGAAAGTGGGAGCAGGGGAAGTAATGGTAACTTCCCAAAGAAGCAAAAGTCCCATTACTATACTGGGAACGAGAGAGCTTTTACGATCTATAAAGGATTTATGCGAAACAATTTGCCCCACGGGGACGATTCGTTTGCCGACGAAGAACAGAGAAGGAGAGAGGAAAATAGAGGAGACATTGAAATAAAGAGAAAAGTAGAAGAAAGAAAAGGCTGTACACAGAGGGGCGCGGCCATTATTGCCACTGGCACTATTCATTTCCGGATTTTAATTCGAAAGTACGAAGAACTGATTGGCTATGGCTCGCGGAACGACGAATCGCAACCCCTTTTGTTAAAAGCTTTTTTCGTTCACAAGCCAACGCTTAATTTTCTTTGCTTATACAATTCATTTTCTATTCAGGTATATCTGACGATTATCGTTTTCCCTTTTTTTTAAATTGAAGAGCTGTTTTTTCTTACGCGAAAAACATTTTATTCAATTTCCTAATCAATTTTTGACGGAATGCGGTCTTTTTCGGTAGAAAAATAATTCTTTTATTCGTTTCATTTAAAAATGTGTGTTTCCTTTTAGAATTTTGGAATTTCAATCTAAGATTTTAATTTTTAGGATAAATATGTATTTTCTAATAACTCAGACTTTCAGCACTGAGATCATTTTCATCATTTGAATAAAACGGAAAGAAGAAAAGATGAAGAAACAATTTCTCTATAATATTTAAACTTTTCCATTGCTTTGAGAGAAAAAAAGTTGAGAAAAATTTTTTACAATGGTTGAAACCGCACGCGCCTTGCATATTTGATATTCAAGCAATAAATTGCTTTTAACTTGGCAAGTTTTCTGTCCTATTTCTCCTGCTGTACCTTAGATGCGCATACTTTTCTCTATATCCTTCAGACGCTCGGTGCACAATTTTCATTCCCCATGGGTCATTTGAGAAAAGGAGTAGACAAAGTATTTCCGTTGTGAGAATGAAGAAAAAAATTGGAGAAACGTCCAGTCGATGAATTGTAAAAGTCACGACTAGTCGCGCGCGCGCGGACAAATTGTCTGAATGTGTTCGCGCAAACGCATGAATTGAGAAGGAAGGGAAAAAATTATGCAGAATTTTCAAGCCGCACAGTTTATGCTGCTAGCATATATATTCTGTATAGTCATTGTTTTTCTGCTTCTTCTTTATATATTATGCGTGTGTCGTATGAAAAATTGATAAAAACAGAAAAGCTACGGAAATTAAATTTCTATATAAATTTCACTAACTCTAAATTTAATAATCTAAATTCGATTTTTTGTGCTTATAAATATAAATAATAATAGTTTCCTATGTATTGGTTTTTTGGTAGAAATTAAAATTTGTGAGGAAGTCATTAATCTGACGAAATGGAAACATCCGATCCAGTGATTTATCGAATGTTCGATCTACCACTTCCTTTATGCAAATAGATGCATAACGTTCTCTATATTCTTAAATTATACCTTAGAGTGTCGCGCATATGTCGATTTCAACCCCTTTTCTTACAAAACAATTTTGTTTTTCACATTTTTTTATTTGGAAATTCTGAATATTGAAAATACGAATTATTTCTACTGCAGTAGTATCTAATTTAATTGGGCCAGTGAATACTAAAAGGAATATAAATAATCTTTTCTCGCAATGTCTTTTTTAAAAAAAGATGATTTGTTTGAAATTCTTACTATTCTTTTGTCTAGTTTGTATCTATAAATTTTATTTGATTATTTTTTTAAACTTTTCCTATTAAGAAGATTTAGGTGACACTTGGTGGCTATTTAATATTCAATCCTTTTATTATCTTTATTATCTTATTTATTTTTACAATCTTTTTATTTTGTTATTAAATGGAAAATTGTGATCATTATTATAATTTATTATTATCATCAGTAATCGACTTTTATCTCTCGATTCTCGTTTTCCGTTTATTGAATCGTATATATATGGTGAAATTCTCTCGCTTATAATATATACACAATGGCAATGTTCGAAATATCCATTTGAATTGTTTCAACTCTTTTGAGGTTTTGAATTCATATAAAAGCTCATTTAATTCATTTTATTTCATTATTTGCATTATATTATAAATTAACATTTGATCCAATCCAATTTAATCTCTATTAATTGGTGTCTATGAAATCGAATATTTAATTAATTTTTGTAAAAATATCTTTCATCAGAATGAGAATATTGTTTGCAGTTCAGGAATAAATTTTATCCTATGAGGAGAAAACTATTAGAAAATTGCATAATTGAGAAAATATTTGAGTATTTATTAATTTATTTTATACAGTACATATAGGTTGGTTCGAAAACTGGTTTCCTTAATTTTGTTTTCTTGCTTCATGGGGTTTAAAAATCTTATAAGAACGTGTTTCGTTAGACGTTTGATGTCACTTTATAAGACGCGTTATAAAGCTGGTTGTATTTTCATCATCACACATCAAGTTTTTATCGAAACAAGAATTTATTATTACTATTGAAACTTGTTTTGCAGAAGAAAGAGATTCTTGTGAATATTAATATTCATTTGAAAAGATCTTGTCATTTTGAGTAATATCAGTTTGATTTTTGTATTCACAGTTTTTCTATAAGGATTTTTGGACATGAAACTAGAACTACCCCAACGAAATTCATAAAAGTCTTATAATCTATTTTCACCTTTTTGATCTTCATTTGTTCTAAAATGGTTCGTAATGACAGAAACAAAAATTTCAATTTTATTTTTTGCCAAGTAATTGGTTTTATTATCAGTTGACATAACTTACTTGTCATTTGAAATGACTTCAGATATACTGTACAAATTAAGTATAAATTACATACAAAAAGGCAAAATTCTACTCATAATTACAAATCATTTTGACATTGAATTTGCACAATCTTATTTTTTCTGAGTTAATAATATCTTGTAGCAAAGTCGACAGTCATTAGAAATTCCCTATGGTTTTAAGTTTCTAAATTTTTATATTAAATTCGCTGTTTAATCTTAAATTTTTAAAAAAAATATTTTATATAGTTATTTATTTAAGATATTTTTTTTTTTTTTAATTTATTATAGAGTTAAATAATTTATTGCAAACAATTCGTTTTAAAAACATAATGGATAAAAAGCATCGAACGTTTTTGGGCAAATAATTATATTTCGGTAAAATATAGATATATATTGAATAAATATCGATCTCTCGGTTAAGTAAATAACTATTTTGTTGAAAATTTGAGAGTATTTTAAAAAAAATAAATAGTGAAATGGCATGGTTAACCTGGGATGATGATAGAACGACGGAAATGCATCAGTAATTGAAAAAGGGGAAATCACTTTAGTAGAAGGAAATAAAACTGACCAATCTGTAGAAGGCATTTTTCAGTTTTTTTTTCTTTTATATGAACCCGCAGTATGACTCAATATGCTAGAGAAGAATAAAATTGCGAGTGTTCCGTTCATTCCCGCGGGAATTTTCACGAATCGAAAAACTAAATTGGAGCATTGGGTTAGGGATTCAAACAGACGCATTTCACTTTGTAATGGTGTTAAAAAAAACCATACTGTCATTTTATTATCAATTTTTTAGAGACATTTTTAACGTTTTCTTTAGATTTCAAAAAAAAAAAATTCTTACTGCACGTTTTTATTTATATTTTTGATTTTCTATTATAATATAATAATATAGTTCAAATACGCATTAAGACAATGAAATTTTCTTAATTGTTGAAGTAATAAAAAGTATATATTTTATTTTTTCTCGACAAAATTCTCTCAGGATTTATTTTAACTGTATTCAGCTGTTTGTAAATGAATTAATTTAAGCTCCGGGTAGCAGAAGTAACTAACGAAAATTGATACAGATGAAGAATTTCAGAGCCAGTGAAACTATGCTGAAATTAAATTAAACATTTGCTGTCGTCACTTTAATTATAATTGCCGTTAATGTAATTATTTTTCTAAATATTATAATCTTTGTTACTGATTTTTATATGTAGAATTAGTTTAATTAATTTTACTTCATCATGCTCTCTAAATCTGAATGAGTGAACTTTTACTGAAAATAAGTGACAAATGCGTTTGGACACCCCTTTTCTTTTGAATACGATTTGTTAAAGTTTCTAGGGATTTGCTTATCGTGACACTTATCACAATTCAATACAAAGGATTAACTCCGAGAAGCCAGATAATATTTTCTTCCTTCATCGCATGGAAGAAATAGACTATAGATAAAAGTATGAAACTTGAAGCGTTGATGCGTATATGTAAAATGTAATTCTTTATATTGTGCAACTGCAGATGAAATAGTTTTGAACAAAATTGTAATATTTTGAAAGATCTTGTATAAAAGACGTACTTTAGATTATTTTCTAGGTTATTTCTGAAAAAAATATCGTTTTCTTTATGAGCTTTGTGGATGTAAAACATTATTTGAAGTTCATTTTATTATTTGAACGGAAGTGGAGTAGACCTGTGGAATATAATCGAAAACAGGTTTCGTGAGGATTGAGAATTCGTGTATATAGGAATTAATTATAATAGAATCCTTCGGATGCTTTTTGATAAATCTTACCTTGCCCTCGTCCTTACAATCGCAGGTTACTCGGCCGTGATCATCGCAGGTACAAGGCAAAGGTGCATCGCACCTGTTGGTCGGAATGGTCATTGCGCTCTTTGGGAAACTGGTACAAAATAGTCCGAGGATTGCACTCCCCAGCACCAGTCCCGCAGCTCCCATTTTCTCTCCAAGGTCTCCTCTTAACAAACCCCTTTCACCATTTTTTTCCTCCCCACCCCAACAATCCTTTTACTTTCAAAGACCGACATCTGCCAATATTTAAAACTTATGGTTTTATGGCTTTGGAAATAAGGAAAAGAAAATTAAAAACGAAAAATTAAAGATAAACACTTGTCACATTCACAAATTCCTCATTGCTCCTGTTAATGATTTTCACTTTGATAACGATTCTTCTTCTCCTCACTGATTCTGCTCATTCCGCTCCATAGTGGAACTTTTTGACATTTATATAATTTTGTTTCTTGAAATGATTCACATTCTATCGAAACTTTTATCCTTTGTGCTCTTTTTGTGTATGTCAATGAATCCGATCTTGCGAACATTCTTGGTGTGTTTTTTTCAAGTTTCACCTGTAAAAAAAGAAGGCTTTTAATTATTGCTTTAAATAAGAATATGTTCTTTTGCAATAGTTTATTAGAAACAAACATGATTACGTTTAACTTGTTCAGTAACTGGTAGTATCATTATTTAGCAAGGACACTTTTTACATTGGAAACTATTCTTCGTTTGATGATTCAACAATGATTCAACAATGATTGAACAAAGAAATCTTATGCTTATTAGTAAACGCTGTTTATGAAATTGTTATTTTCAATTTTGACTTGGACTTAGACTTTAGATTTGGTTAGAAAATTAAAAACTATCCAATGGCGATTTTAAGTTTGTTTTTCAGTCTTTTGGTACCACAATTTTCCTAAGGATATCAAATTGAGACAAAAAACGAATCAAAAGTGTTGCAACACTTTTTATTCGTTTTTTGTCTCAATTTGATATCCTTAGGAAAACTGTGACATCGATTGCAGTGATAATGAATAGCTGTAATTTTCTATCATGTCCTCGACGGAATTCCATCGTTCTGCGTCTTTAAAGAAATACGAGATTAGAAACTCGAGAATTCTGTATTAAGTTTTTTCTTGTTGCAATAAATTGTCCTTTAGCTATCGTAGCTTGGCAGAATTTATGTCTTACCTTCAATCGTTAATTGTCCATGATCATGAATGTTTTAATTTTGCATTAGACTTCTTCTAAACCCGCGCGTAGAGAAGTAAACTTTATTGAACAGGAATAACTAATCTTAATTTATGATTCATCATTTTTAACAAGTTGTTAGAATTCTTATAATTAATTAATGTACGGACTAAGCAAGTGTGAAAGAAAGTAAGTAATGCCATAAGTAATGCCTCAACAATAAAGTTGAGGCATTTTTAAAAATAATAAAACACTTGATAGAAACAGATTTTTTTTTGTTATAAGATAATAAGATGAATTTAATTTGTTCAGTAGACAAGTTTTTGCCCTTTTCATCTGAGTTAAATGGCACTCGACCCCAATAAGTATTGGAACAACGCGTATTAAGCCTGGTAAATGTAATGGTTCGGTTTTCTCCTGCGAGGCCGGATGTCAAAGTTCACAATTCAACCTGAGAACTTTGGACTTCCTAATTATTGAAATTTCTCACTTCTCTAAAACTTGCTTCCCTTCCCTGCATCTATATACGAATTCGCATAATGGCCTGTACGAGATGATCGCCAGACGCGTCTGTTCCGCCCATAATAATTTCTCGTATTAGCATATATTCTCAAGGGAAAATCAGAATTACATCATCTCCTTCTATTTTCAGTCCACTTAATTTGAAACTTTCAATATTAAATTTTGGATAAACTGATGCTGAATAGAAGAATTGTATATTGGAAATTGTCGACATCATAATAATTATGAAAAGCATAACTTAGCTTCTTTGCTAATTGAAGAGAAGAGAAATATTATTTGTTAATAGGAGAATGGGGTGATAAAGTGTAAATTTTCATTGAGTGTAGAAATGTTGGTTTTTATAAAAAAAAAAAAATGGTTACAAATTTTTGCGTGACGGTGTAAAATGAATCGAGGAATATGAAACACCCTCTTGCGAAGAATGGAGGGTTTTTAGTAGTTTCGTAAAGTGTTTTCCATAAAGTTATGGCTTAGGAACAATGTCTCCATTCTCCTGCTTTTCATTATCCGGGCTTCCTTCTTCGACTCTCCCGCGACGACAGAATGAAATTCTCTCGAGGGCGTGCAAAGTTTTACGAGCCTCGTACCTTGATTAACTTAACGAGCTCCACGTCCAAGCCTCGAGCAGCGTTGGGTCGTCGTCGAATCGCGGGGATTATCGACCTGGATCTCGTTTAAACCCTATGCGCCTTGTAATTGTTGCTGAATATTATATTGTGATATAAGAATATAATGAGTGACTTTCAAACATAACATAACTTATAGTGTGTCACTGCGCTATCGTCATCTTACTTTCGTTTATTATCTGTATTTATAAATTCTCTTTTTAAGAGTTTAGTATAGCTTTTCAAACTTTATAATCTCGAGTGGTTTATAAATTAAATGAAAACGAAATGATAATTTTATAATTTATAGTGCATTAGAATCATTTCAATCCATCTGTTTATTTTGAAAAGTTATAACTTTCAATTATTTGTTCTCAATGAAAGTGGAATATACTTTTTCAAAAGAAAATCGTTTCACTAAAGATTGATGTAAACTTTACTTTTTTTGTAATCACTGTGTGTGGCAAAGATACGTTTTAGAAAAATAAAACTAAGAGGCAAGAAATTACAGATCAACAAGTATATACAAATTATTTCACGTCCAGATAACTTTTCTCTTGACCGACTGTACCCTTGATTAAACATTCCTCACTGAGTGATTTATGCCTCGTTAAACGGATATCCATAAATACTCAAATTCCAAACCGTTGGTTTTGCGATAATTGCACTGATTTTGTCCTGCTTGTTTAAGGGTAATCTGTTATTGATATTTAATGCATAATCACGTAAACAAACTGATTGTAATTCTCGAAATATATACGCAGCATATATTTGTCTTAATACATTTCATGAATATTTATTTTTTATTTAGGTTTTTTTCGTTATTCTAACAAAAGATTTGAGAGTAAATGTAATCCTTTTGGCTGTCATTGCTGTCATTGCTCTCGGGCAAATTTCAAATTAATGGAATTTAAAATCAAAACCCTATTCTAAATTTATTATTATGTATATATTTATAGAGAGAGAAGCTTTGATAATACGTTATTGGGTGTATTTTCAATCACCGAATTCCCAATGCTAACCTACATTTCGTGAGATAGCATTTTGGTTTTACATATACGCGTAACATGTATTTTGTCAAGACTCATTTTTCTTAAATTTTTTTTTCTTTTTTGCAAGCTCTAGGTTCAAGGTAATACTTTTCTTATACAGCTTCTCTATATAACATTTCAAGATAACGGAAGATTCATGATGGCCTATTTTTTCCTACATCACACCCCAATATTCTCCGTGCACTTTCACCAAGTTGATAAAACTTTTAACACTTACTTAAGATATCGCATCTGCAATTCTCATCATCGCGGCTTAAAAATATGTCATATGAATAATTTACCAAAGCAGCAGTTAGAATATATTTGTTTCCTAATTCGTATTTTGACTTTAAATCGATAAATATAAATTTCCCGTGATACTTGGAGATTGTGAGCATAATATAAAAACTTTTAAAATTGTTTGTTAGAAAATAAATTGTAGACAGTAGTATTGCAGAATATCTGGCAATGTCCTCTTATTAGTTTTATTATTTGTGGTTGATGTAACGGCTAAAGAAATCTGCTGACTTCTTTATCTGATACATCCAACTAACATCTATCAGAGATACGGGAATAATATTCCACTTTGTTAACTTTGTGTGCGATAATATTACATAAGATCGTTGTAAATGTCAGTTTTGTGCTATATAAAGAAACGTTCAAGAAACGGCTATTACGCAGTATAAACAAAAAAACTAAGTATTTTTCGTTCTTACGGCATTCTAAACAAAAATTTTAAACTACCTTTCATATACGTTATTAAAAACTGATTCTAAGATTATGATGGACTTATTCATGGACTATATTAAAGAAAGCCGTTGCGATAAACTCCACATTAATTTTATTTCATGCCTTTAACATTTTTATCTTTCTTATCCTGATCGTAAATAATTTTATCTTTGGTCCGTAAAAATAGATGGAAAATGCCAAGAAATATTTAATGTAATTATGCCATTGAAAACGTAAATAATTGCTTGTATTAATAATAGTTGCTTGTATTGTAGGATTCAATTAAGAAATCAGTTTTAGCAAAAATTGTATTTCCTGATTGGCAATGTACCTAATTAAAAATCTAGTCCAGGTGTCGCATTGCAGGAAAAAATTAATTGCTCGTCATTTCTTGCTGGTGATAAATTTCCCGAGGTAAAATGCACTACTTGGTGGTCACTTGCTGCACATACCACTTAAATAACTGATGAATGGAATGTTTCATCACTTATTGTTTCTTGATGAGTTTCTCATGTCTTAAAAGTGTTATTACTTTTAAGCATGGAGAATAGGTAAAATTATTTTACTTTTACAGGGAAAAATTAAAGAAAAATCAAATGAAACTGATTGTCACGTGCAACACAACACATTGAATAACAACATATGCTTCTTGTTTATAAATAGATTTTATTAGAAATGCAGCGCGACCTCGATCGCGCGCACACAGCGACTGGTTGCCTTTCGAATTTGCTTCAGGTTCGCATCTCTACGACGACGATCCTCTTCGTCGGCATTATGCCCTTCCCCGTGACACAAAACGGCGCACGCATTCTCTCACTCTCTCTCTCTCTCACTCCCTCCAACTCACTTCCTCTTTGTTTTTTTGTACCGATCTTCCTGAGCTGTTGCCCCACCCCAACAAGTTTTTGGCTTCTTTCATTCTCCTCTTCTGTACGCAGCATTCGCTGCTCTAGATCGTAACCACCAAGTTCTTATCAGTCGTACGCGATAAGGCGCGATAGATAAAGCCCTTAAATCACGACTCTGCTTCGCGATCGGATTGGCAGGGGATCGTTTTGATCTCTGATTTTCACTCCCCCTTTGGTTTTGTTTTTCTATCTGCTTTCTTTTTTCCCCATTTTTCCTGTCTACGGATGCTGAGGATATATTCAGCTTTGAGCTAGTCTCTGAAGAAATCCTTTTTTTGAGATTTAACGGGATATGGGGATGATTCTGATGTCACTGTTGTTAAAAAGAATTCTTTGCTGATCAAGTTGTTTAATAATTTGTTTAGTTAATTATAACTTAAAGAATACATATGTTACAGAATTATTCAAGTTTTCTTTAAATTTCTAATGTTTAGATATTTAGGAATAAGTTAAATTTTAATGTAATTAATCATATTTTTGGTTAATTGAATTAATTTTTGTTACATATGTAACAAATTTAAATATTTTTTGATAAATTTCGAAGTTTCGACCATGGATTTTGATTCAGAAACCCAAAAAACATACAATATCATGTTTCTAAAAAAAAATTATTTTTGAACATTTATGGCACAAAAACTTTATTTTTACTGGACTGCGAAGGGGTTAGAAATATTCAGTAGAGTTCTCTATAGGATATCAAAATTCTGTAGTAATCAGGGCTGCAATGATTTACATCAACTTGATTCATGATTTTAATCTTGATTTAAATCTTGTCATTGAAATCATGATTTAAATCAAACTGCAAAATGCATTAGGGAACCGAAAAGGATGCAAAATTAGTATTTCGGTTTAAAGTTTTGAATTCAAAAATATAAAAAAAGAATATGCTACAGAGATAATATAATAATTATTAACTTTTGTTTATTTGAGTGAAGTTATTGAAAGAAGAAAAATCAGTATTTTATTTTTGAGCTAAAGTCAAAATCTCATAAAAAAAAATCAAAATCTCATAAGTCAGGGAAGTCGAGAAATTCAGGAAAAAGTCAGGGATTTTTATTAAAAGTACTGAAAAAAATGTAATTTTTAGAATTTAAAGAAAAATTCTGAATTTTTGTGTCTTTTTGTTTGCCTTATAAACTATGAAATTGCCAAGAATTCTAATACAAACCCTTCAATTTTTTCTATTTTTGACAATAATTTCTTTTTAAATAACTTTTAACTAACTTCGCATAAATTCAATTATGTTCAAATAATTTAATAAAATTCTTGGCAAAATTTCAATTATTTTAAAAAATTTTCCTCATTTCAATTACTTTTGATATCTATTTTAATAAAATTTTCCAAAAGAATTCTATTATTTAAATAAAATTTTAATAAAAATTTAACAGGAATTCAATTACTTACCAATTTTTTTTGTACATTTCTTCGCATCAATTCAATTATTTCAAATTTTTTAATGAAGTTTCTCGAAAAAATTCAAATATATAAAGAGAATTGAAAAAAATAGTCTGAGAAATTCAATTATTTCGAAAAATTTAAATAAAATTCTTTTAATAATTCTATTATTTAAAAAAATGTTGGCCAAATTCTTTACAAGATTTAGTTCATTAAATTGCAATTTTAATAAAATTTTCCTATACAATTCAACTGTTTTCAATACATTTCTTCTTAAGAATTCAATTATTTTTACAAATAAATTTTTTATGGGAATTCAATTATTTAAAAGACTTTAAATAAAATTCTTCGCTAGAAATAAATTATTTTCTTTCTTGAGAATTCAATTATTTTTAAAAATTTTGATAAAATGCTTTATAAATTAGAAAAATTATAATAAAATCGGTCTAAGAATACAATTACTATCGTAAAATACAACATTTTTTCTAGAAATACACTTATTGTCACAAATGTTTGTAAAACTCTTCGAAACAATTCAATTATTTTTGTAAAAAATAAAAATTCTTCTAAGCAATTCAATTATTTAAGAAATTTTAATAAAATTCTTCCCAAGAGTTAAATTTTTTTCAAAAATAAACATTTTCACAGGAATTTAGTTGTTTAAAAAATTTTTTTTTAAATTCTTTGTCAGATTTCAATTATTTAAAATTTTTTTTTGAAATTTCTAGATGGAATTTAATTATTTTTAAAATTTTTTTTAAAATTCTGAAAAATTCAATTATTTAAAAAAATTTGAATAAAATTCTTCACAAGAAATTAATTATTTTCATAAATAATAATATTTTTCTCTGGAATTCAATTATTTTCACAAATAAAATTCTTCACAGGAATTCAATTCTTTAAAAAGATTTTTAATAAAAATTCGTTGCAAGAATTCAATTATTTTCATAAATAGCAAAACTTATCGCAGAATTTCAATTATTTTTATAAAATTTTAAATAAAATGATAGAAAATTGCATTTATTCTAACAAACTTTTTTTAAATTCGCCGTAAGAATTCAATTCTTATTAAAAATTTTGATAAAATTCTTCATAAAAATTCAATTTTAAAAAATGTGCAATGACTGAATAAATTATTTTTGTTTGTATTTAAATAATTGAATTCTCTGGAAATTTTCTAATAAAAATTGATTAACAAATGAATTTCACTTAAAATTTTTAATTATAATTGAATATTAAAAACATTATAGCGTGAATTTTTAGAAATAATTGAATTTTGAAAAGGGTTAAAATTAAAATCTTTGAAAATTTAAATTTATAGTTAAAACATTCTTATGAAATAAAAAATGATTTTATTACTCTGCCATCTTAAATTTCTTCATGTTTTATTATAATATTCTCATAAGTTATTGAATTTAAGAATCTTAATTTCTATAGAAAAGTAATACTGATTAAATATTTATTTAAAAAAGAAGTTATTAATATTTTTCAGGGTCAGGGAGAAAGTGAAAATTTTGTCTGGAAATCAGGGAAAAATCAGGGAAAAACGAAATTAAAATGTTGTGGCAACCCTGTGTAATATTATTTCATATTACGATTAACATAATTTAAATTAACCTATACTTGAGCAAAAATATTTATTTTATTATAAAAAGAGTTAAAAATCAACATTGTAGATACCAGTTTCTTTATAATCAAATGACAAATTGAAATTATTTTTTGATGGATCAAAAAAATTATTTTTTTAAATTTGAGTCATTCCATCAATATTCCACCAAGATGATATTTAGATCTTCTCCCAAAATATGGAAACCGACTTATCATCATTGCAATAAGGCAAATGCGTTTATCATTTTATTTATACTGCAAACACTATACACAATACTTTTCAAAACGCTCAAAAAGAAGTGAACATAAACGAAAGGAGTTCTTTAGAATACTCATTCTTTTGCAAAAGTCCTTCCATTAAATCGCCTTTTACTGACATGCATAAGAGACGTGAGGAGCTTTCGCTAATGGAGAGCTTACTTTTATACTTAAAAACTTCTCTTTCTATTTAATATAATTTCTACTTGTTTATTTATTAGCTCTCTATTATATCATTGGAAAAAGTACTATTGACGTAGGGTTGAGCTAATTTCCGAAAATTGGTCCAATATTGGTCCAAAACACCTACTTGGGGCTAGGTTTTTAAAACAATTGTAAATATTGATTTATATTAGTCCACGTGAAAATGGCCCATTTTGACATGGATCTACGGTTGAAAATAATTTAATTTTCCTTTTTCAAAATAGCGCCAAGTTCTGGGTGTGAGACACAGCATATCACCAGTTGTGAGACGGTGTCGACATCGCTATTAAATTGTGTTTATTTGATAGTCATATTTTGGCGAATAAATATTATTATTTAGTACATAATAAAATATATTTAATTATTTTTACTAAACATAACGTTTATGTCAAACTTTTTAAATTTTAGCAATTTTTAACAAGTGTCTCACAACTGGACACATTTTGACAAAAGCGATGTGCTCGGAAAATTGATCATAACTTGTTTTGAGTCCATCTGAACACTACACTTTCTTTGAATAAAAGTTGCGTATTTAAGTTAATTTTCGAACTGTATATTTTATTTACAATTTCATTTACCCATTTACAATTTATGGGTCAAAAATAGAAACCCGTCTCATACCTAGACACACTCCTATACATTACACCATTAAAACAATTATGAGCCTTTTATACATAAGAACATTGATTAAATAGTTACATATCTGTTTATAGCTTTATATCTGTTATCTTTTCCAGTAGCCATATCTTCTATCCTGTCTCCTTGTGATTTTAATCTGTTTATATGTAGAGAATAATAAGTAGAATTTTACTTATGAACTTAATTACCCAACAATGTATGCTTTAATTAAAAGTTTAGAAAAGCATGATTGAAAATTATGACTGGTCTTTAAGTTTTAAAGGTTTTCATTAAAGTGATAATGAAAATTTACTTCATAGTCCATTAGAATGAATCTCATGCATATTTTTGTTTAAACAACAATTATTATTATTATTATAAATTTGTTTGTGATGTATACTAATGGAATGTTTTTTTTTGTTTGTTTCAGGTAAGTTTTTCCTATTCTTCTGTATTATTAACATGCGCCGATTTGATTCAACAATCGTCAAAAAGAAGGTTAGAAGCATTTTTTTAAAATTCATTTTATGCGGATTGGAACTGGAGTAACTATATTTCTTGGCTGCCAATCGATATGTAGAAGTTAGTTTCTGAGGATCTTTTACTCCTACTTTAACAGCAGTTCCAATTACCCCTTGCGTTTGGCATCGTAAAAACGTAATAGGTATGAGGGGGAGGGGGGGGGGGTGTAACGTCAAGAAATGCGAAAATAGAACTCTGGGAAAGTTGGATGGTCAGAATTTCACGATTCCCATTTT